CTCCGGGGGGCTGGCGGCGGGGCCGGGCGAGGTGGGAGAGAAATTAAAAGGGAACAAAGAAAGATGAAGGGAAATGCCGCCGCCTCGAATAAATATTATGACACCTGCGGGAAAAGCCGGCCTCAGCCCTCCTGCAGCGCCGTGTCCCCCTCCAAAGGGTTTAGCTGGAACGCACCAAAGCCGGGTTGTCCCGGGTAACGTCCCCTTCGTGCTGCCCCAAAACCGATTTTCAGGGATATACGCGTACAGACACGATTTTGTCATCCCCGGTCCTGTAAAACCAGGATAATCCTACAGCTGGAAGACTCTTCCCCCATATGGTTTCTCCTGGTGTCATGAAATAGTAATCTAGTGGGGTTAGTTGACCTGAAATAAATGTAAAATACCTCAAAATCTATCTATAACCATTTAATTGTTGCTGGGGTCTTTATTGGCAACTCAGCCTCGAGTTCAATGTGGCTTAATAATCACTTGCAAGACCCTTTAAAAGCAGCATGTTTTTTTACTGTGTATTGCTGGGCGACGGTCTGCCTTAATACTAACTTTGCAAAAATAATGGATTTGATGGATTTATTATAATAGAAAGCAGTTACATTTAAGAGGCCCTTCCACGAATAACCAGTACCTTCTGTGCCATGCCAACACTGATAGGTTTTAGATCTTACCAGTAGAATACTGTATATAATTTCCTGGTATTTAGCAAGCTATAGATTGAAGATGTTTCACTGGAGCAATTTCAGACATACTTAGATTCTGCTGTCGCAAATGGCCTTGTATAGACCAGGCATGGTTTTACCCAGATACAAGTAGTGATATTCTATGTAGGCATAAGACCACTAGTAGGGGACTTCCTGTAAGAACAAAGCTGCAAAGGCTTTCAGCATGATACGATGGTAACTCACCCCTTCCCAGCAAAACCAGCTGTACTCTCGAAAACGACAGGTTTGACTGGTGTAATTGAACATATATTACGGGTTTCAGAGAGAAAAGCCTTTCCATGCAGGGATCACACCTCTGACGGGGGCCAACGGGAACCCACACCACGGACCTGCCTACCCTCAGGAAAGGGACCCTTTTCAACTGCAGTTAATTCATCCAAAGTAGTTTAACTACACCAATATCCCTACCACTGTAAGCCTCCATCTATACAAGGAAAATTGTGAAGAAAAGTACAAAAAAAAAAAAAAAAAGCCAAGGAAGGATTTTAGTGCATCCTGTGCATTTCACTCTGGTTCCCTAAAACACAGACAAAGTAAAAACAACAAAAGTCACTGTTCATAGAAATGAGGCTCCACAGGAAAATAACTATTCCTGCTCTCCCTTCCCATCTCTGCTGTAAAAAAACCCCACAACCCTTTAGTTAAACACCTTCATTCAGTCAGGTATTAGGTAGTTTCCAGATTAATTAAATGAAATATTTTACTTTCATCTTCTCAAGGCCAGTGATTGTTACCGACACATTCAGTGTTCAATTTGTAAACATAGTATTGAGACTTTACTAATAGCGGCTCTGCTGCAATCCTAAATACTACTTAAGAGCATTTATTCATGTGACTGTTCCCTTTTAAAGCAAGAGTCAAAGGTGTGCTTAAATATGCAAACAATATTTATTAAACCTGTATTTCGTAAGCTAATTTACAAAGAATGATGAGGTTTTCACATTATAGCTGGGGGGGGGGCAGGGGGAAGAAGCAAACTATGCATCAAATCTGGTTTTATTAACTGTATTGTTGCACAACTGTAACGCTCAATTGAACTAAATGTTGCCCAACGCTCTTAAGTTTCATAAAGTGGAAAGTTCAGTGTGGTACAAACTAAGGCGCTGCTCCGGCCCAGTACTGAAGAGAGACACAGGAGCGCTGCCCCTGACAGGCCGCAGAAACAAAATCAATCTTTGCACAGCCCTATCCAGCCAGCTTCATAAACTATCACCTTTACCCCCTGCAGCAATACTTTACTTCCTAGATAAAATAAAAACAGTAACCTACACATAGCCGAGGTTTTTCGGCCAGCTCTAGCTACCTTCCCGGCCCGGCTCAGCACGCCCCGCAGGCAGAGGAAAATATTTCTAGACTTCAAAAATTTACGTGCAAAAAGCCAATTAGCGGGTCTGGAAGCTGAGACATTGACCGCCCTTCCTTCCTTCCATCCCTTCTTCCTTCCCACCCCGCTTTCCCCGCCCCCGGGCCCGGCC